GCGGGGGTTCTCTCTGGGCCTCGGGGGGGGGGCTCGGTTCAGGTGCATATTCTAGGAGCTAGGTGCAGGGAAAATGCCTTGGTCCTAATACATCATTTGCTATTTCACCATCCAGATTTCAAAAGGTTGCAGACTGTGCTATTTTGTGGTTGCAAGGGGTTAAAATACACTTCAAACGTCATCGACTATTTTTCCTCCCTCTTTTTAGTAGATACTGCTGCAGACTCAACGCACTTACCAGCAAGATTAACGGACCCACCAAGGGTAATATATCGATGGAGTCATTGCTCATACCGTCAAGCGTGTACCAGACTATCATCCGCTGCGATGATGGCAGGAACACAACGACGGGGAGAATATGACAGAGAACAGAATGTTGAGTCTGCGACGGACCTGCGTTTGGCTTTTAACCTGTCTGTGTCTCGCTAAACCCTTAAGACCCAGATTCTTCATAAATATAAGTTTCAGTTTTTGTGTCGAGACTGTTTAGACCCTAAGCTAAATAACCCAGCCTCCGCACCATGTGGCAAATGATAAGATTAATTCCACACTTAATGAAAAATAAGCAGATGCCCTGAAACTTTGTTTGTTTTAATCAAAAATGAAATGCTCAAAAAGGCTGAAAGTTATCATTTCCCCAAACGAAGCGTGCACAAACGGGAGGCTCAAAGAACAACCGCGAAGACTATATTGTCTCGCTTGGGAGTGGTATGCAGCGGACAATGTGCCACGGGGGATGGACTTATTGATTCATAAGTCTATTACATGTTAAATTTGTTGTTGGCCTATAGTCGACCGTGGTACTGTTTTTAAGGGAGTATGTATAAAAAGTCGAGCGAAATGGGCTCGTACAGCTCTAAGTAGGAACTCTTGCGTCGGTTAGCGAGAGGCAATATCCGACTCTCGACTGACCCACAACACAAGCGTTGATAAATATTGTAATATTGCAATTAAAGCAGCAAGCATGTTCGATTCTTTGAGCACAAGATCTCCATCTGCTACGAAATCAGCGCTACATGCCATCATTGCGACATCACGAAAGCGGTTAAGTACCGTTATCTTCAAAGAAGATTTTGCATCGGCTGCGCCAGTCTTCACATTCGAATATTTTCGAATGTCGTTGCATCGTTGTGTCTGAAGACTTGTCGTATCTGGCAAAGCTCAGCGATTCACTGTCATCATTTTTTTCGCTAGTGCGCTAGAGCGGATTTTTAAATTCATGGGTTGTGTGGGTTCCTCAAATCAAGCCAGCTTAAAGTGCTGCATTGCCATGATGTGCTACTGCTGGTACTGATGGACAACCACACTACAATTGCAGCCAGTCACTTCAATGAAGCTGAATGTTCAAGGGTTATGTGATCAATATAAACAAACGACAGCAGCACCGTATCCGAGAAGCATCGAGGCGGTAAGATAGGCAACTAAGGAGAGGTACAACTAGGCAAGTGTTCAGAGCCGAGCACAATTTAAACTTTCAAAAAAATTTGGAAGAATTCGTGTATCCTAATTTGTTGTAGTTTCATTTTGATTGGATACCATCTGGCAGAATATTTCTGACGAGAATACTTGTATCATTCCAAGCGGCATTGGTAAGGCACATTTGTACAAACCCAATGTCAACTTCGTCAGGTATATCACAATGTGTACTTCCTCCTTGCTGACCTATGTGACGCGCTGATGACCAACTGAAAAGGCCATGGTAATGGCGGCTTCTAAGCATAACCAAAGTAGAGCCAGTAGGTATCTAGAGGATGCATCAGAGTGGACAACACAAATTTGCCACAGTATTACCATCAAGAGTAGTCGTAGTGTCGTCACACAGCTTATCCCACAGCTCATGCTTGGATCAGAGATGTGAAAGCAGCGCATTATTTCCTGTAGGATACTAAATATGGACAAGCTGCATATAATCGATTGGAAAAGAGCGATATACTCTGATCTGCGATTTTCTCTCACAATTAAACGCTTTTTTTAATAGCAGTCCACTTCTCACAAAACTTAGCTCTGATACAATGTAAAAAAGCCACTTTAGCCTTTAATATATCATAAAACATTCAAATTGGTTTTATTAAATGATTTGCAAAAGAAATGCATCCTAATCTCGTAGATCTATGTGTCCTCGTAATGTCCTTATTGATGTGTATCTGGCATCGCGGTTTGGCATAATTTAGCGGCTAAGTAATCTACATGAAAAGCTAGCGTTACAACCGAATGAATAGAAAGAGAGTATCCAGATCATGTAAAAGCTGGTCGCAAATCAATAGAGAGTCGTCCCAATCCGCATAGTCTTCAAGAGGCTCAGCATTTCTATATAGATACGGGTGCATCGCCATGTGCTTTCTTGTCCCATCCGGAGATACGATCCGTTTCTAGGATTGTTGTCCATGCATATGTTTTAGCTATTATTTGATGGTGATTCAGGTCTAAATGAAATAGAAGTGAGCCCATACCGCATAGTCTTCAGGTATGCGGCAAGGATGTGCTTTCTCGCAACCCCATCTGAAGCGGCGATCAGTATCTGGATAAAGAGCAATTGCCCTTCCTCCATCTGGTTATCTTGTCCGATAGAGGTGACCCCCAATGATCGGTTTCTTGCGATTCCGAAGCCTCACAATCGAATAATCGTCAAACTTAGCAAACACCAACTCAACTCAGAATCTCGACAGCATCCAGCATTCATTATGCGTCACCAATCGTTCCTCACGCTACTGGCTACCGTCACGCTGCACGCAAGCGGAATTGCATCCCATGGAGCTAATTTGGCTTCTTCCAGCGTTCCACTGGAGCGTCCTCTGACTGAACTGTTCGATTCAGTTGGTAAGAGGCATCTGAAAGCTGAAGACGATAACGAATCGATGGATAGCGAAGAAAGGATTGTAAAGACTGAAGCTGAAGCAGCAGTATTTACGACTGCGGCAAAGGACTTGAATCTTCAACATAGTGAAAACATATTACCCCGAGCTGTAGAAGAATTCGGTGCGAAAGTCGAAAGTGTAGAAGAGGCTCTGAAAAACATGGAAACCAAAGCCCACCAAGTCCCAAAAAACGTTGAAGCATCGGGTGAAGCCAAGTCATCACCACCTCTCAAAGCGCCGAAAAATGATGACGCTGAAGTAACGGGAGAGGTCAGACCGCCATCACCTTTCAGATCGCCGGATGAGATCAAGGCGGACGCAAAGGCCAAAACAACGGAAGGCGAAAGTGTTCCTGAAAAATTCAAGACTTCAGGAACGGCCAAAGCCATCAAAGGCGAAGAAGCAGTCGAACATCCGTCAGCTATGAGGCGTGTTATCAACTGGTTAAAGGACTTCATCAACAGAATTATTGGTATATTCCGTTGGAAGAAATCACAGCCAGAATCAACACCTTCTACAAAAGAGATCTCCGAGATACCTTCTTTCCCTAAAAGCATTCCGAAAGACACCACGGATATTAAGATGACTGAAAGCATCAAGACGACAACATCAGAGAAAAAAGCTGAAGGAACTGCTGAAGGCTCCCCATCAGTGGCCACGGGTGAAACTATCAATCCGACAACATCAGAAACAAAATCTCGAGGAACATCCGAAGACACGCCTGCTGTTTCAAGTACTGTGATTGCGGGCGAAAACGTCAATCCAAAGGATCAGAAACTGAAAGCAGAGCCTACACCTGGTGAGTCAACCGTGGTGGGAACAACTGAGACGTTAGTCCATCCGCCTGCTCCCAAGCAACCATCCTCAGGCACAAATGAGGGCGCCGGACACGTTGGTAATTCTGAAGCCAACACAAATTCGGGGACTCTTCATTCCCCGAAGAAAACTGATGCTGAAGCCAACACGAATTCCGAGACTTTTCATTCCTCTACCAGTATTGCATTCCCGAATACTGATGCCGAAGCCAACACAAATTCGGAGACTATTCGAGCCTTTTCCAAAGGACCATCCCAGAAGCGTCCTGATACTGACCATGTATCATCCTCGTCTCCCAAAAACCCATCTCGCATGTTGGAAATGCGCACTTGACTGAGTATTCAGGTGTGACTGAAGTAAAACTAGGACGAGTAGCTTTAGATACTTTTAGAATTATCGGAATGATCAGCTTAGGTCAACATGGTAAGACAGTCGGCTAGTCTACTCAGCTTCAGTTATTTCAGGTCTCATAATTTCAATGCGATAATTTTGACTTTGCATGCAGATTTTTAGTATGTTACCTTTTATTACACTGGATTCAGATTCCAAACCGGACAAGCTGCAGCCTATTCACATGGTACTCGAAACTTTTTCTTTACTCCTTGCACAATGAATAAGTACTAAGCGAAGATTGTATGCATCTTTCATTCCCTAGAATAGTATTTGGTGAATCCACTGCCTCGCACATTAAAGCCAATATTTATCTTTATATTTATGCGTAGCCATCCGGTGGTCCATCCCCTGATAGAAGGATTCACCTTTTGTCATGGGCCTTTTACTAGTGCTCAGATGGTAGTACAAGGCGAGGCTGCTAGAAGTTCCCGTGACCAACCCTTCGTGATCGCGCTGTTTCAATGCGCAGCGCAAACCGTGGAATCTGCACATATGATCAAGTTTATGCCTCAATCTAGACACGCTTTGACTACCTCAAACTATTGGCCATCCAAAAATGTTTACAGTAATCAGAACAGAAACGGTTTGAGCGAGTTAAACTTCTGCACCCTTTATTGCTCCTAGGTAAAGCTCTCATGCTTCCAATTATCAGCGCTGATATCTGCTTTTGGACTTCCGCCATTTCTTGCTCATCACGTTAATGCAGACATATTATTGTGGGAATTCAAAGCTAGAATAGCGACAGCCAAGCTTTGACGAGTTGCAAAATTCTAAAGATTGATTAGCAGATACAATCTGTCGACTTTAGAATACCGACATTGCCTTCTTTTGCAATCAATGTCATGCGATATCGGATTAAATCCTTTCGCAGCTGTCGCCTGACCTTGCGAGCGTACCTACACCTTTCACACAATGTGCTTTGCCTTTGGAACGCTATATCCCCAAATAAGCGAAGGGTTGTTCTGCTCAAATTCATGATTTAGCATGGATCTGTATGCGAACGAATCATCTTCACATTGCATTCTTTTTACTCCAGACCCTGTTTGAAATTTGTTTAAGCCAATCCTACTTCAGACCTAAGTTTCTTAAATGATGAGAGACACAATAGCATATTTGAGTGATCGCAAAGCAGACAAGTCGCGATGGGATCACCATTCTTCGAACTTTTAGCAATCAACACGCTTTCTGAAAGTAGCCAGAGAACATTCTCTGGATAAGATTTTAGCTGGCAGTTACTGGGTACGTACTGATTAATGTGAACGCATATTACTTCGGAGATATTGGAAATCCAAAAAGGACCGCACGTCAGAAGATGACAAAGTTGTATTGTCAGAGATTATAATGTATTTAAATCGGTCTAAGTGATATACATCACATGTATACCTTTGTAAAGGCAGAGTTTACTAGACACATTGATACGGTGGAGGCTACCAAGTCTGCATCTTTAAGGAGCACCCTCTGCGGAGTCCAAGAGTCGAAGCATTCGCATGCAGAATACACGGCAATACAATTGAAATTGCAAGCCCATCTCGCTCAGATTGAGTCCCAGTTCTTAGAGCTGAGCCAAATTGACAACGGCATTTTGAGGCAAGGATTTAGGTCGCCCTGCGCCTACAAGGACGTGGCGATCCCCCAAGAGGCATTTGTCGTCAGCCCTTGCGTGGGAGCCCGATTATCAATCGAGGGCAAATGACGCGCGCAAGACGCAGTCGTTTTGTACGACCGCAAAGAGAGAGCGCAGAGCTGCTCAGCAGCTATTAGATTGTTGGCAGCTGAGATACACTTCATCCGTTTATCCGCTCTAGACAACGGGTTCTCCTTCCTCCTCAACATTGCTAAGTCGCGTCTGACGCGCTCACGAAATCTCCACTTCCAGCATCCTGACCAGTCCTTGCGGCACGAGAGCTGTTTTTTGCATTGACTATGACGCCCATCGCTTTCTAAAAAGGACAGTGTCGACTGCGTCCATGACGCCACCGTCGACGACGGATGATTCCTCCCGACGCAAGCCGCTCATGGTGAGCAATAAGACCTTTGAGGTTAGAATGGAGAGAATATCCTGCTCAGGGTAAGAGATGCCGAAATAGCTATGGCAATCGTCATGTTTCAGAACGAGCAACAGCGCGTGGCGCTAGCTATCACCAAGCTCGGAGCCCAAGCGCGAGAATGGGCACTAACGTGCGGTGTTGCGGCCGAAGCGGCAGTCCTTTCCTGAAAGAAGATGAAGCGTCAGCTTTTGCGAATATTCTCACCGCCTAGCCAGGCATACCGCGTGCAATCGCGTTTTCTTGCGGCCAGACAAGGCAAGATAAGTTGGTGGATTTTTTTCAATCATTGCCGGGATGGCAGCTGATCCTCTCCTTGAGGCGGTCACAGTGACAGTATATACGGAAGGCCTCCGCACTGGTGTGGACAGAATAAAAGTCTTCCGTGTGCACTCATCGTCTTTTGATGAAGCGAGAAATGTGGCATTGAATGCCGAATTAAACTTTAAGTCGGTATGACTTGGTTGAAATGCACACCCTCAGAGTTCGTCAAGCGGGCCTGAGCCAATGGATCTCGGCTATGCTGAGCGAGAGGAAGAGAGCTCCGAGTTACCGACAGCGTTTGAACAACCGACGGTGTTTTGTCTGTGGAGACACCTGTCACCTTCGGACTGGTTGTCCCCTGCACAAGTCGCGTAAAGGTTCGTCAAACCAACGTCCCGCTTCTAACTAGTCTGGTTTGACGCGGGAAAACGAGAACACCCAGTAGGCGCGGGGTGCCATACTGGGGAAGAACTGAGTTCTGTTGAGCCTCAAGGAGGTAGAAGGCAGCAGAGCTCGGCCCCGAAGAGCTCTGTGCTCTAAACCACGGAACTGTATGCAATTCGGGCTTGCTGGTCGTAAAAGCAATCGTGAAGGGCTTTGAGAATCCATGGAAGATCCTTATCGATTCAGGGAAGTTGGACAATTATCTTCGGCACTCCACGATCGAAGGAAGTCAGCTGTATAATGAGGCGCTGAAAGCACGGTTAAGTGACATCGTCGCTGTTTGCTTAGCGACGGAGACTTGCGTCAGTGTGCCCCGAGGGTCCTCGAGGACTTTTTTGTCAAATTTTGTGTTTTTAATATCGTGCAAAGCCGATTAGTCTTTTACTTGGGAGTAAGGTAGACTTTATCCTTGGTATGGCATGGTTGGAACAGCATGCATCATGGAAAGATTGGAGGTCGAAGACCTTGGGTGCTACGCCCACGTCTCCTGGTAATAATTTTGCGATTCATGAACCCACCACTGCTATGAAGCCGAAGCACTATTGGCGCGGGTACTGGACCAGGACGGTGCTGGATATCGAAGTATTCGAGCTGTCAAACACCGAAGGTGAATTGGGCAACAGTCCCGAGCATGGCTTGCGGGCTGAACGTGGAGTAGCACGTAACCTACTGAGCACTGCTCATGTATCGAAGCAGTTGCTGCATACCTATAGTGGCATGCCTGGCCAAGGGCGAGGCCTCAGTTATGCAGGTGGAGTGGCACGTAGCCCACTGAGCAATGCCCACGTTACGAAACAGTTGTTGCAGGCCAGAGTGACTTGAACGGACGAAATATAAAATATCGAGGGCGAGGCCTCAGTGATGCACGTAATCCACAGAACACTGCTCACATTACGAAGCACTTGCTGCAGGCCAAGAGTGGCATGAGGTGGACGAAGTCCGAGGCATCGAGAGTGAGGCCCCAGTGATGTGCGTGGAGTGGCACGTAATCCACTGAGCACTGCTCACGTTTCGAAACAGGTGCTGCAAGCCAAGAATGGCATTGTTGGACGAGGTCAGAGGCATGTTGGGAAAGGCCCTTCTGACGCGCGTGAAGTGGCACATTATCCACTGGACGAAGACTGAGGAAATAGCAGCTTCATGTCGGATGTTGCTGATAACATCAAGGCCGCGATGGAGCACACTGGACGACGTCGAGTGCGTTTTTACAATCATTTTGATGAGACGTAAAACCTATATGAGCGAGACGGCAAAGCCGTATGATACCAGCAAGACGGAGGGCGTCGTCCCTAACCCAGGATGTGTCTACTGTAGACGATAGTGCACAGCTATATACCCTTGTCAACGGTATGACGGGAGAGGAAGACTGCGACGACACCATCGATTCTAACCCCTTGGTGGATGCTCTTCTTGAGCTGGTTGAGGTGTCCATCGAGTTGTTTGGCGGTGCCTTGAAGGCAGGCGATTTAGCCGAATTATTACGATATGACCAAACGAAATATTAAGTCGTCGTCGCTTCCTGTCGAAGCTGTCCCAAGAGGGTGCTGAACGCACGAAATAGATTGTCGATCCTGAAAAAATCCGTACTATCCCTTGAAAAAGGAGTATCAAGACGTCGTCTCCAAAGACCCACCGTCGGTCATACCTTCGGACCGAGGTGATTGACCTAGTTCCGGGAACCAAATACTGCGTAATACACCAATGGCCCCTGCCCAAAGAGCAGTGTGACGTCAATGACGTCTTTTTTGCGAAGAACGACGCAGGATTGGAGCGTGATAGCAATTCCCCCATTTGACACCTACGTTTTGTGTCCGGAAGCCGAACGGCAAGTGGCGTATCGCTCACGCTTACAATAAGCTGAACGCTACCACCATTCCGACACAGACACTGATTTCTAGAAAGGATGTTCTCCAGAACAATATTGTTGGCTGCACAAAGTACAGCGCACTCGACTTGGTCGATGGTTATTACCAATTACTCCTGAGAGCGAGAAATTTTTCGCTGACAGCGACGGGTACTCGAGCGGGATGCTCTGGGAGTGGCTGGTGATGCCCAAAAGGCTGTCAAAATGCACCGGCAACATCATATCGTCTTGTGACGCAATAGTACAAGCCCACCGGGCGTATGCACAAACATACTTCGGCGACATCTTCGTCGACAGTCGCGCGGGGCACGGACAAATGAGGG